TTCATTTGTCCATTGTCCGAAAAAACTGTCCGACCAATTTTTGTATTGGCCAGATATTTGTCATTCAAAGCAAAATTTAGTTATTTACAGGCCTGCCCATGCAAAATATGTGGAATATACAAAATATTTCATTGACATTTCATATACTAATCACACAATAACAATGGTTTGCAAATTAAAAGCTTGTACAGTAATTCTAGTTCCAGACCCCAACTATTAATTCTGAAATGCAGAGGTCATAGGTTAGAGAATTGCTTGTTGTTTCACATGTTTTAATTGTTTTGGTCTGGAGAAAAGTCTACAGTATGTTTGTTTGATGCTTGTGTTATGTGCTGTTTGTTTACATAAATAATGGTCATTTATTTTTAGCTGTGATTTTAAAAGAGGCAGAATCTGAAACACATAAATAGCCAAACCCAGCAGACGGTCTTTCCCACTTGAGTGTCTGCCATGCAGGCTAGAAACTGAGTTCATTTCACTGAGTTTAAGTTTCTCACTTATTGGAATGTTTTGCCGAAATTTTGTATCAAATTCATGAATTTTAATGTTCTAGAGGTTTATCAAGTGTTGTGAGAAAATGTGTACACAAGGCGTCGGGTCAGGAGTATGCGGTGAAGATTGTGGATAAATTGAGTGATCACGGAAGCTGTGATATTGGAGAAGTCACAAAAAATGAAGCCGACATTTTAAAGACATTGTCTGGACATAAAAACATTAGTAAGGCCATATAAAATAAATTCCTTGATTCTCATCGCTAAATTTTAAAAACTTCCAGGAGGCGGGAGGTTTATATTTTATATTTTATGTCAAAATATAAAAAAAAGTTTAAAATTTAAAAATTGGAGAGAGAGGTCTTTTTATATTTGCCCTTAAATATATTATAGAAGAACGCTATATAAGTGGATAATTGCACATGCGCTAATGAACATGCATAAGGGTCCACACAAATCGTTGTAATAAGGCTATAAGCCCATTTTTTCCTTCCGTATTCCAAGCATCCCTTAACATGTTGCAATATTAACGATAAAACAATTTTATATCGCAAAAATTCCAATATAAAATATAAAAATAACTAAATCTCTGAAGATGCTCGGTCGGGCGGTAAATTTATATTTTATAACAAAATACAAAAATATATCAACGCGGAAACCAAAATATTACATTGTTAAATTCTTCTTTCTATTTTTGTTTTGTAGTATCGCTTGTTGATTTTTTTGAGTCGCCGACATATTTTTTCCTTATTTTTGAACTGTAAGTATGCAGGAATATTATTTTGTATTATAAATGAATCACAACGGGAAAATTTTCTGTCCATGGAAAATTTTCTTGAGTGGAGATGGGCCTCAAAATTACAACCTTTACATAATTAGTTAATTAAATAAATATATATATCAAAATTGCAAACAAATTTAACTAGTTTATTTTTTGTATAGTGCCGTCGGTGGAGAGTTATTCGATCAACTGACCAAAGATGTAACATTCTCTGAGAAAAGAGCAAGGTTTGTAAAGTTTCAAGCTCCCTTACATGAGCGCTATGATGGGTGACATCCGTGTTGACAAAAACGCTGCTTGGTTATATAATGCCAGTATTATGTGCAGAATTACTGTACACACCTTGGCTTCATATTGCAAAAAATGTGTATAATTATACACACCTTTTTTTCTTGGGTACCTGTTTAAATCAACACACTGCATGCTATTGGTTGGTTGGTGATACACACATGATGACGAACTGACCATTTCTTGCATAAACTAAGACAAAACCATAGATAATGAGGTGTATTATGTCTGCATCAAGTTTCCTAGTTTCAACTCACCTTAGGCGTAAAAAAGAAATACCTGTGGTTCCGGTTTCATATCGTGAAAAAATTAGGGTCGGTAGGTCGGAAATAAATATTTTTTTTTAAATATTTTTTTCATGGTTTTGGCGGGTTTTTGCCGGGCGATTTGCAGTATTGTCCCGACATCAATATTAACTAGAGATGCGTATTTCCTATGGACGAATTTAGGCAATTTGGTTCAATAATTAGTGTGACAACAGACGCCATTTTGGCACGCTGTATGAGCAGCCCGCAACCACCTGGAGAAAATAGGGTTGTGCAGTCAATTGCGTTGAAAAAATAATTGGGTCGGCAGGAAAAAAATAGGGTCGGTCGGGAACCGGAACCACAAGTTGTTTTTTTTTACGCCTTATGTAATGCCGTTTGCATAAATATTGTACTCACCTTGGCTTCCATGTTGCAAAAGATGTGTAATTATACAGTACACACCTTTTTTTCTTGGGTACTTGTATAATTAAATCAACACACTGCATGCTATTGGTTGGTTGGGGATACACACATGATGATGAACCGACCATTTCTTGCATAAACCAAGACATAACCATAGATAATGAGGTGTATTATGTCTGCATCAAGTTTCCTAGTAACCTTATTCTATGACTCACTATGTTTCCATGAAACAAAGCAATAATAATTATTTCACTTTGGAATCATACCAAGGAACTGTAGCAATGAGTCATCCTTTGGCTTTGGTTATTTTGTTCTAGGAAAGTTATGTACGAAATATTGACTGCTGTTAAATACACACATTCCAAAAATATTGTGCACAGGGATTTAAAGGTATAAAATATAAATAATTATTAATTAAAAGTAATTAACAATCGTTCCTGTTTCAAAGTTTTTTTTAAACAAGAATGACAAGGAAAAATTCCCTCACGTCAAGTTGCCTGACATCCCCATCAGGGCTCCTATTATTTTGTGCCTGCAAACAATTTTCATACCTTCATGCATAATGCGTCTGCGAAAACGCATCTTACTTTTGGTTTTCAGATCTAAATATTGTTAAAATGTCAGAATGTTAAAATGTGCTTGATCCAGCCCCGTTGCTAGTTTGTTCCAGTGAGCTCTACATACAGTATATATACAGTATACTGGTATTTATATAAATATATGAAGATAATATGTACATAAAACTATCTTTTCAGCCTGAAAATATTCTTCTCAACGACAAAATGACAATCAAATTATCAGATTTTGGTTTTGCTAAAGAGTTGAAAGAAGACGAAACACTCACCGGTAACTACACGCGTACAGTACATATACCAACCCTGACCGTAAACATTAAATTTTGTTTTCCTGTTTCAAATATTCAGAATCATATGGTTCTGGAGCAACTAGAACCAAATGCATTGTATGACTATTATTAATAGTACAAACATTTTCCTATAGAAGCATCCTGGTTGAAAATGAGACTAAAAGCACCCTAAATTTACTGGTTATAATCTAACTCTTCCAATTCTTCCCAGTTAGGTCTAAAAACTAAACCATGTATAGTTTCGCAGTTCGATCAACAAAAACCCTTCAACGATCTGTACTGTTGAACGAGATGTTTTAGAATATTTCTGGCTATAATTCTTTCTAGACTTGTGTGGTACTCTTGGTTATCTCTCACCTGAAGTTCTCCGTGCCAGTATGTACGACGATCAACCTGGATACGGGTTTAAAGTTGATCTGTAAGTGTGAAGAGTCCACAAGATATTCAATATACTTGTCTGTGCTTTTACCCTCAAATTGCCTTTGGTCCATCTTTGTATTTGACCCGAATTTTTTAAAACTGCTCTTTACCAGTTGAGAGTGATTGTTTTGATGAGAGAAATGGTTTTCCACAATTTTCAGAAAGTTTGAAGTGGGTTGGGGCACTTTTTAAATTTTCTTGAAAATTTCCTGTGGTCTCCCCCTTTGCTCACCCTAGCCATAGGGTTGCGTTTGGTCCCCTCGTTGCATTTGACCCAAATTTGACCAAAAACTGCTTTTCATCAGTTGAGAGTGATTGTTTTGATGAGATTTTATAAATTTGAGCTTGGAAATGGGCGACGGTATCTACGGAAATGTAATAGGGACACTATTCAATTGGGGAGGATGCATCAGAGTTGATTGAATATTACTACACGTAGTAAAAACCTCAATTCATCAACTGTAATAAAAATTTGAAGCAGTTCAAAGTTGATGTGGTGAAAGTCAATGAGAGTTGATTGAATATTACTACACGTAGTAAAAACCTCAATTCATCAACTGTAATAAAAATTTGAAGCAGTTCAAAGTTGATGTGATGCAAGTCAATGAGAGTTGACAGTCAAACGCGGACGGTAGTTGTAACTCTCTTCAACTCGAATCTTCATTTGCCCGAAGATTGATTAATAATTATTTTATCTTTTGTTAAGGTGGGCCTGTGGTGTCATATTGTTCACGTTGTGAGTACCATTTTCATTCTATATATATACACCTACCAAAATATTTTTGCATAACCATGTGGTGTTATCAATGTTTGGGCTTGTAATACGGTCAACAATTGTCCAGAAAACCATAACGAAATTTGGTCAGACATTTTTTATTGCATTCTAATTTCCGGGAATCTACTAAGAAACCAAGGTATTTTCACTGTTGTTACCCTACTCACTACATCATTTTGCACTACATCATTTTTAGGTTGTCTGGGTGTCCACCATTTTGGCATCGAAGACAAGCTGTGTTGATTCGTTCCATCATAGAATGTCGTTACCAATTCAGCGGTGCAGAATGGGCTGATATTTCTGACTCTGCCAAAGACTTGGTACGTACATGAGTTTTTATTTTTTGTATAAGACCTGCCGCACACGAGAGCTCTTGGCTGTGCTAACCCCAACGAAAGGATGCATTCAGCAAGTTTCTCAGATATCAAATGCAATTACTGTAGATCTTTGTTTCGTGGCCTCGCCAGGTAAAATTCTCAGAAAAAAACATGTGCACATGCAAGAGAGAGAATATGACTGAGAAAACAGCCTCACGAGGTTTGATGTCAGCCAGGAGCTCTCGTGTGCGTCTATCTTTGATAACTTTAATTACCTTACCATGTAACTGTTGATTACTTTACCAGACTGACCACTTCATCAACTCTCATTAACTTTCATCAATCGTTTCTCCCGTCATCCACGTAATATCCCGTGTCCATTCATAATTCCACTTGTAGTTAAAATTGTATTATTTATCTTGACAGATATCAAAACTTCTTGTTTCCGACCCAGAAGAAAGGCTTTCAGCTGAAGACTGTCTCAAACATCCTTGGTTAGAGGGGGTCCAGGTAAGTTACAGTAAGCCTACATATGTTACACCAAGCAATTTTTGCCATGCATTTTTTTTGACATAAAACCATGTTATTTACAAATTAGTCGCAGTGAAATTGTAACCATTGCCTTTGGTTTACTCGTCCTTAGGTTTACTCGTCCTTGAGTACGTTATTTAGAGTATAGAATGCAGGTCATGCTGACAATTTATCTGACATAGTTTTATAACACGGCTTCATATTAGGAATTGCATTGCAAGTTTCAGCAAAAAATGTCTCGTGTGGCATGCCCTCAGTTAAATTTTATCCAAAGCTCAGTGCCAAATGAGCTTTGAACATCTGGCCCCTGAGTTCAATACTACAACCAGCTGATGTTAGTACTACATGAAACATGTCTGTGTACTGTGTATGGATTTTGCAGTGATTCATTCAATCATTCATATCTTGACTCTTTCATGAGGTTCCCTCGCCACTATCTTCCTTCTGCAAATATTTTTTAAGTATCTCATCATTATCGTTTATGAATAATTTTATTTTCCTTCGAATTGTTCTGAATGTATTTTTATCCGTTCGTTTAGATCACAAGACCAGTTGCTTTTGTCGGAAGAACTAAATTTCGGGTACGTGAAAAGATACAGTCAACGCTCTACGGAAAGTCTTGGGTTTTCTCCGGGTACTCCGCATCCGATCAGACATTATCCGTAAAGCCTGTTTTCCACTAGGCGGAATTTTTCTTTGTCTTATGATTTCTCGGGTGGAACTAATTAGAAAAGACAAAGAAAAATTCCGCTCCACGCGCAAAATTCCGCCTAGTGGAAAACAGGCTTAAGGTGTCTACCAGAGGCGCCCTTAGAAAGCCTTCGACTCAATCAGGTTGAGCTGCATCCTTTGCAATTCAGCTTAGCTCTCAGCTGCAAGTAAGGATGATTACCACACCACACTTATTTGCCCACTCTAGTTTTTGGAAATGAAAGTTTTCGTGCGGTAAACTTTAAATCGCTTTCATGAACTAGATGAATAGTGAGGTAATGTACTAATGTGTATAAAAAAAAGGTTACTCATCCAAAAACTCGCCCAATATCTGTATTTAGTATATACTCGCGAGGTGCATAGTGCTTTTCACGGGAGCTGTAATACAAATTGTTTATTTTCGTTGTGTTTTTTTGACATGGTACTGTATTAATGAGTTAAGTAGTTTAGTTAAATGAATATTTAATAGCATTTATATAATAATAGTTTGTTCTATATTACTTTTCTAACACCTCGCAGGATCTGGAGGAGAAACTAAATGCCGACCTGCGTAATGTTTGTGTTTGGCTTAATGAGAATAAACTAACTTTGAATACAAAAAAGACCAAATTCATGATCATTGGGGGTAGCCGTAAACTTTCTAATATTGATTCCGTCACAGTCAAGGTAGCTGGCAGTAATATAGAAAGAGTCGAAGAATTCTCGTATCTTGGAATAACTTTTTCAACTAATATGACCTGGACTGAACATGTTAACCAACTCTGTTCAAAGATCAGCAAACGTCTGGGGCTCCTGAAGAGAATTAAGCATCTGCTACCGCGATACGCAAGACTACTTTTTTACAAGAGTCTTATTTTACCTCTGTTTGACTACGGCGACCTGGTATGGGGGGATAAGAACAATGACGTACTGATGGGCAATTTACAAATTCTCCAAAACAAAGCAGCAAAAATCATCCTTGACTATCACCCACTTTCTTCGTCTAGTGCTGCGCTGGATGAGTTGGGATGGAACAGGCTTCACCAACGTCGATTTTATCATAGATGTTTATTCATTTTTAAATGTTTGAATGGGCTATCTATGTCTAAGTTAATCTTGAAATCGCTAAGCGAACTTCATTCCTATAACACTAGAAATAAGAACAATTTATGCTTGCCTAAAGTTAAACGAAATTGGGGCAAGCAAAGGCTCGAGTACCATGCAGTAAACGATTGGAACACTCTTGACGAAGAGACTAGACATTCAGACTCAATTGCTAAGTTCAAAATGAACTATTTTAAAACTCACTAGTGCTGAATTATAACACTCATAGCATGCTGACGTATATATACTCTTTGAATTCTATTTAGTTACTATTTTTATTGTTGTAGATAGCTCACAGCTCTTAGTCTTACTTGTAATTTAAACACTAGGCATACTTTTATTGATTTTTAACGTTAACCTTATTGTAATGTGATGGATTTGGTTTTTATGACTCATATTTATATATGTATATTTTTAAATATAGGACCTCTCTGAAAATTACTTTACGTGAGAGAGTTTCCTATTTAAATATTGTCATAAATAAAATAAATAAATAAAGTAAATTATAGTTTTAAAATTGTAACAGTTAGCCAGCACACCTTTCATGGAAATCAGCATAATGTTGAATGAGATTAGTGTGCCAAAATAAAGTTGATCTATATCTATCTGTATATGCCAAAACTTCATGTTTTGGTGAATATTCTTGCACTATCCACCTCACTTCAGTGACTATTATTATTGCTGTACGCCCAAGCAGGCATTAAAATACGGAATTTGTACAAGGACATACTTCGCCTTCAGAGGCGTATTTTTGGTATAAATGCGCAGACTCACGAGAACGAGTGGCAAAGCCATAAGTTTAGCGTCGAAGGCGCGAACTTTTAAGGGGGTCTCTGAAATGGCATTTCCAGAGAACAGAATTTGCAAAATCTTTGGCCATTTTGCGTGGATTACATTAATATATTTTCAGTTTAATATATTTTCAAGTACACACTTTTCAATTTACAAGGGCACATTCGCCTTTTACAAGGACACAAAGTGTGTACAAGGACACGCTATTTTAATGCCTGGCCCAATTTGTCATTTTAGGGAGTGATGATTGCTGTGCGTACATGCCTCGCTTTGCGTCAAATGATGCTGGATAAACAACTTATCACAATGGAAATGGCGAAGAATGCTCCATACAAAGTAAAAACTTTCAGAAAACTCATCGATGGTTGTGCCTTCAGGATATATGGTCACTGGGTTCAGCGTAAACGAGATGACATTCAAAACAGAGGGGCGCTGTTTGAGAATCGTCCCAAAATGGAAGTTCTCAATGGTGCTAACACCTGCAGGACTAACGACCGCATGGACTCGGATTTTGTTTATAGTTTCACCCATAGGTAACGAAAGTTGTGGTGACTGTGTATAGTTTTACCCCTAGGTGACAAGGGTTGTAGTGTTTATATTATAGTTTTATAGTAAGTCACGAGAAATGCCAACTCTGTAGCCCATTGGTCAGAGCGCTGCACCGGCGGACATATACATATTGGCGTAAGGCATAAGGTACTATGCACAATATTTCACGGCATGGTCTACTTTCCAGACCCCGTTGAAGATATAAGAAATCCATTTAATAAATAATGCTTATAAGTAAGTCACAAACGAGAGATCCCAGGCGCATGTAGAGGTCGTATTCGGAAGTAAATCGCGCAAAATTAATCGCGCAAACTTTGTTACATGCTGACTTATCAAAAATAGTACTCAAGTACAGTAACGAAGTACATTTACTTCGTTACTTGACACAGGCTTGACACCACCGTTCTCACTACTTTAGTTCTACAGGCCTCAAATAAATTATCGTTTCCCGGACAAAAATTACCGGCAATCACGGCTAGGCTGTAAACCACGTTTGACTACGCCGTGAAATCCGTCATTTCACGAGAACAAACATTGGCACGGCTCTCGAAAATACCCTTTAATTTACCACCCTTTTTGTACTGCTGGAAATCCTAGTTCAGTAAACGTTTTTGCCTTGAATTTCATGCCATCTATAACTTAATTGTTTTCCAACTCGTACCCAGGCAATAGTCACGTGGCTCACAGAAAATTGATTAAGCCTAAGGGGGTGAGGAAAAGTATTTTAATTTAGCACCCAGAATCTGGGAGCCGCGTAATTACACACTAATAGGCGTACTTAATTAAAACAAAATTAGCGCATACAAGTTTTAACGCCAACTCTAACCCTAACAAAAACTAATCTTAATCTAGCACTAATCTAAACTTGATGACCTTTTTTAATAACCTTAACATGATCTAACCCTAATCTAATCTTAATCGGACACTAATTTATACTTGATGACCACCTTTTTTTTTATTATTTGGGGGGGGGGGTCTCCCCCTTTAATAGTGTCCGAAACTGGTTATTCCAATAAATGCACAGCATCTGTACTGACAAGAAAATCAACCCATCGCTTTTCGTAAAATATTTTTTACGTTTTTGGAGTGACAGTGTTTGAAACTTCCCTTCTATTAAACGTAAGGTAAGACCGATGCAGGCTATCGCTAATATAAGTTGACAACCAAACTTGTATTCTTGTATTTTTTACTCAAGAACTTTGCACTAAGAATCTCTCTACATAGTATACAACATTATTTTTTACCAATTTCAATTTTACACTCCTGAGTGGAAACTACTTATTTACAGTAACGCTACATCAAGTATTGGCATGATACATGTGACTCTGATCACCGTGCTCTGATCAACTCTGATCATGTTAAGATCATGTGACTCTGATCATGTGAAGATCATCTTGATCATGTGACTAAATGAGAAAGCACATCCTATTCCAGGGCCGTAGGAAGCTCTTTTCGATTGGGGGGGCTGAAAGCGAGGGCCGAAGGCCCGAGGAAATTTTTAAATTTAGAGTCTCTAAAATGCCATTTCCTGGACTTTGGGGGAAGATTTAACAGAATTCTGATAGGCAGAAAACAGCGTTTTAGTATGTCGAAATTTACAGGAAAGTATGG